TAATACTATATTTAAGTATCAAAGCTGCATTATTGCATTTGTTGATTATATATAAAGATAATAAATGTCCTCAGTACTTTTCTCCCTCAGCATGTACTGAGTATTTTCAGTATTTTATCCTCTGATCAACAAAAGCAATTATGCAGCTTTGATTTTTAAACATTTTATTAAAAATAACACTAAAACACGGAGAGATTTGCAGAGAAAACACAGAAGGACAAACTAAACTCTCCATCACTCACCTGCTTGTTTCCAAGGTTGAACCCACAGACAATATATATAAGAAGGTGTAGCTGAAATACCTTACAGCAGGTGGCGCTGTTGAGCTTTAAAACACATGGACTTGATCAGAAATATAATTTTTTGCAGAAATTCCAGCTCAAAACAATCATTCATTTCATTTAGACCAGCAACAAATGATATCACGATTCTGTATTTTACTGCATGTTTAACTCTTTGGCAGCTGGCTGGTATTTATTTACATTAAAGAAAGTTTTGGTCCATCAAACCTGAAAATAGTTAAAGTGCTGCAAACGTCGGCTACATTTACACTTTTAAAAGTGAGCCTGCATTATTAAAAAGAGGAAGAAGATTGAGACGTGTGTTGGTGTTGGTTGACGGGTAGAAAACACAAAACCGTTCAACCGTGTGGAATCAGCTGTTATAGTGACATCTCTTCTACAGTAACTATTCTAACATACGAGTATTATTCAGACACTAAACGTATTATGTACATTTGAAATAGTTTTGGCCCCAAAAGAAGAAGTGATTCAAACCATTTAGTGGATGTAAATATTGAGTTAGTCTCTCTTTAAAGTGATTTGTTCAGCTGATATTCAAACAGCGATTCTAAACCTTCTATTTCTATTGGAACATTTGAAGAAGAGCTTTGCTAAAGCAGCACGTTGCCCCTTAATTCCTGCTTGTTCTAGGCTGCTTTTATTGTGAAACACGTTGCCACTGAAACAGGAAGCTGTTCATGTTTAAATCTGCAGACATTTTGATGCTAAGCTTCCGCTTTCTTTTGCCGATAACTGGTGATTTCTTCAATTCGTACTCAACTGTTGCTGTCCACGTACAAAACAAAATATTATATATTAGAAAAGTGAACTTTCTGCAAGCTAAAAGCACACAGTCAAGCTTTGGTGGCAACTTTTGGAGAGTGGTGTGTGTGTGTGCGTGTGTGTGTGTGTGTGTGTGTGTTTTGTAATTTGGGTGAACTGGCCCTTTAAATATAGAGACGGTGGGAGCAGCCCTGCTTTAAAAAGAAGATACAAACTGTACAATAACATACAGATAACTGACCTCTATACAAATTAAAAAATACGTCATCCTCTGTGTGTGTTTGTGTGAGTGTGTTTGCACCAGTGTGTACACACTGCTGTCCATCATGCGTCATGTCTTTAGTTCAGTTCATCGTCCTCATCCTCTGGTTGGAGGACTGAAGGCTGCTGGTCTCATCTTCATCTCAGTGAACGGGACGGAAAACTGTTTTCCTTTCCAGGCGGTCCAGATCACACCCTGACACACACACACACACACACACACACACACACACACACAAAGATAGACACACACACACACACACACACACACACACACAAAGACAGACACACACACACACACACACACACACACACACACACACACACACACACACACACACACACACACACACACACACAAAGACACACACACACACACACACACACACACACACACTCAGTTAATGTGAGCGTATTCTCATAAAACAGTTCAAATGATATCTTACGAAAAAGTTTTCTCCTCATTTTTCATGCATCTTCCTACAAACGTCCACGTGTCAATTTCTACTCGTTACATGAAAACATTCTTTTCAAAATAAACTTCAGTCTTCACAGGAAACAGCTTAAGTTTAGGCAACAAAACTACTACTAACTAATAGTTAGTTCTGTTTACTATGGTTATCAAATGATCTTGTATAGGCTCAACACCGCTCACACAGACTGGGAGATTACTTTCTCAACACTTCACGACCTGCAGAAGAATTTAATCGTGGTATCGATTTGTTTTTAATCTTCTGTCAGAAAATCCTGTTGTCGTTTTGTTTTGCTTCACCACCACCGAACAAGTTCAACTTCCAGCTCAAGCGAACCAAACTAAACTGGCAAACACACCTTAACGAACGAGACCACGTCCACACTAACAGCAATATACTGTAAAAGTTCTCATCGCTTCACCTGGTGACGGACGTCGGTGCCGTAGACGCCGTTGAGGTTCGCCTCGTGGCAGTTCTTGTACCACCAGCCTCCGCGGTACGACATGGCACAGCGGGTGATGAAGGGGGACAGGTCGCGGTCTTTGGTGGAGAAGACCCGCTGGCTGTGGTAGCTGAGAGAGTCACCTGAGACCACGAAGGGGAGAGGAGACACCAGCAGTAAAGGGCTATTCACTGGTTTCCTTCAGGAGATGTTACAAGAAACCGTTTGAGATTAAATACCAATAGAGAGGTGAAGCCCCGCCCCTTCTGGTGTCTCCAATGGGACTTTATCTCAGAAAAAATATGTGCGGTAGTCAACGGTGAGAGACAAATTTGATCCTGTTTGAATTGTGTCATGATTTACACAAACTAAATTTGTCAATTTAAAAGATAATTTTGTCTTAGTTTGTATTAGTAACATTTAGTCTCTGAATACGTCACCTACACCAACATGGCCGTTAGCTTGGCTTGCTAGCTAGCTAGCTAGCTAACGTAGCTATGTTCCACGCACAAATGTGTCGTCCTTCTAATATATATTTTAACAGTTTTACAACAAACTGAGATGTTCTTGACATGCAAAATGATCTTCTAAATTAAAAAAACATCATATGTGTAATTCATGGCTCAATTCAAACGGATGAAAACATTATTTGTCTCTTGCCGTTGACTACCATACAAATTATTTTTCCAAATTCCCCTCCCATGGTGCGAAAGGGCGGGGCTTCTCCTCTCTCATTAACCGAGCACGTTTCCTCTGACCTGCGGTGCCGCTGTATCCGCTCACGATCAGCTTGTAGTGCCTCTTCACCAGCTCAAACGTCGAGTATTTGGCGAACACCGCCTCGTCTTTGTCCCGCAGGTCGACACGCAGACTCATCCGGGTCATCGCTGTCAGGTTGTAGAGGCTCTCCAGGCCTGAAGCGGCGAAGATAAAACTGTCTCAGATAAACACGACTTCCTGCTTGGGTTTACTTCTGGTTTAATTTTGTTGCTGTTGTTTCTGAACAAAGCAGTAACTGACTTTTTAAGGTTTCTGGAATAAAAACTGGATTCCAAATTTCCTGCCATTTAAACGTCGATGCTTTGAAACTCTAATCCAAACACTTGTTTTCATAAAGGGACTTGTTCACTTCTTTTTCCCAGAATCCCCCTCGTTAGCGGCGGTAGTCTGGATCTGGTCAGGTAAAGAGTTTCCTGCTGAAAACATTGAAGTTTGACTTTGATGAAGAATTGAGAACCAAATATTCATTTCTTCTCCACTTCCACATTAAACTGAAGCTTTTTACTTTGAGTTTTTGGTGTTTTTGTCATGAAAATACAAGAGAAATTACTCCACGTGGAATATTTATGTCAACAAATTACTTCAGCTATAAAGTTTAAGATTTGTTGGAAAATCATTTTTGAGTTCTATAAGAGATTAATTTAATGCCTTTTAAGATCTCTTAAAGATCAAATATTAAGAAATCTAAGACGTGTGTTTGGGGAAATCATGCCGGAAGTTTTCAGTCAGTGAATGGTGAACATTGGGGAAATATTTGGAGTTTTAAAACCACTGAATTTGATGCCTTTGGGAGTCAAAGTACGGCAGCCTGAATGTTCCAATGCTGGGAGAAATTGTTATGAATTGGTAGATTTTCTGGAGAATCTCAACGCGTCAACGAGCATTAATCCACAACGTCACATTTCTGGACAGATATTTTACATATATAAGGCCTTAAGTTTCCAGTTTGATGCTCTAGATTGGTAAAAATTAAAAAAAAGACATTTTAAGGACCTGCAGATGTCGTGCAGAGTCAGAAAGTCAAAGTCAATGGAGAAGAGTTCTTGGTGAGTTTAAAGAGCCTTTGTTACGAGCTATAGTTAACAGTTTAGTCTGGCTTTTTGTGCTGCAGTGAAATTTCCTTTATTCTCAATCTGACCCAGCGTTTAAACTACTGTTAACTTTATTTAGGTTGACTTTGCTGTAAACACCACATTGACTGTGTATCCCCAACATGTTTTAGTGTCTTTGAGAGTCTCTCTCTCTTTTTCTCACCGAGCCAAAACTCTCCACTCAGACTCCCAAATCCTTTAGTGTAGTCCTTCCAGCCTCGGAAGAAATCCACGGAGCCGTCCTTCCTCCTCTGGAAGACCTGCAGACAGGAAACACACAGGAACACCTCCTTTACCTCCTTTACCTCATTTACCTCCTTTACCTCCTTTACCTCCGTTACCTCAGTAAAAGTACTACGAGCGCACTATCAATAGTAACAAAAGAAGAATACATGTTGTTATCAATTAAAACAACAACAATAAATAAAAGTAAATAAATAAAAATAAAATATAAAAACAATGACTTTTACGACCATTAGCATAAACTGTTGGGTAATTTAGTTATATTTATATATAAATATCAAGATCTCAGATAAATGAACTAAAAGTACAATATTTCTCTGTGAATTGTTCTGGATCAGAAATATAAAGTAGCATGAAAAGTTAAAGACTTAAGTGAAATACAACTTCGTTAAATTTGTCCGAAATGTACTTAGTTAATTCTGGCTGTCAGTGGCGTCACCGTACCGTCCAGCCGCCGCCGTCGGTCTCCATGTCGCAGGAAACCATCATCGGCGTCCCGAGTTTCCCCTGAGGGAAGACCTCCGCCTCGCCGGACGTCCTGATGCCGTTCAGCAGCTCCTGGGAGCAATCTGTGGGGAAGGGGAACCTCAGGGTGCCTGAGGGAGAGGAGGGAGGAGGGAGGAAGGAGGAACACAAGAGGCGGGAACGTTAGCTCTCCATCAGTACATCCTCATGATAACGGTGTAAAGCGGTCGAGGCCGTTACCGGTGGTGAAGTCAGTGGAGATGGCAGCAGAGTATCGGCCTCCTCCCTCGGCCTGGAGCTGCACCGCGTACTTGGATCCGGGGTGAAGTCTGGTCAGGTTGTACTCCGTCAGCGAGGCGTCCACCATCACTTCCTGTGAAGACGCACAAAGACATTTTTTTGTCCTTTTGTTTTGTTTGTCTTTGTTAAGGATGGATGTTTTCATATTCAAACATTTGGTAAATTTTAATTTGTTTTTGTTTTTGATTGCCAGAACCAGACAGCAACCTCTGGTTCTGAAGAGTGAGGTCAAAGCTTCATGTGTTAAAGCTGCATTCTCTCTAGTGTCTAGTGTTTTGAATGCAGGACTTTTACTTGTAACAGAGTATTTTTACATCCATGTATTGCTACTTAGGAGAGACACTTTTTGTTTTGGGACAAATGAATCAAACCCTCCTCTCACCTTCATCTCCTGACCTTTGCTCTCATAGGTCAAACCCTCCTCTCACCTTCATCTCCTGACCTTCGCTCTGATAGGTCAAACCCTCCTCTCACCTTCATCTCCTGACCTTCGCTCTGATAGGTCAGACCCTCCTCTCACCTTCATCTCCTGACCTTCGCTCTGATAGGTCAGACCCTCCTCTCACCTTCATCTCCTGACCTTCGGTCTGATAGGTCAGACCCTCCTCTCACCTTCATCTCCTGACCTTTGCTCTGATAGGTCAGACCCTACTATCACCTTCATCTCCTGACCTTCGCTCTGATAGGTCAGACCCTACTATCACCTTCATCTCCTGACCTTCACTCTGATAGGTCAAACCCTCCTCTCACCTTCATCTCCTGACCTTCGCTCTGATAGGTCAAACCCTCCTCTCACCTTCGTCTCCTGACCTTCACTCTGATAGGTCAGACCTTCCTCTCACCTTCGTCTCCTGACCTTCGGTCTGATAGGTCAAACCCTCCTCTCACCTTCGTCTCCTGACCTTTGCTCTCATAGGTCAAACCCTCCTCTCACCTTCATCTCCTGACCTTCGCTCTGA